CGCTCCGGCGGCTCAAGTGGCGTTGCCTGTGCAACACCCACCGAGCCTCCCTGTACCTGAGCCAGAGGATGTGCACAACCCACCGAGCCTCCCTGTACCTGATCCAGAGCCTGTGCCATCAGTCGCGACTGCAACCAGTGATACTGGTGTAACTATGGGAGTCGAAGAGCCCGAGCACGGTGGCAACGCAGTGGATACTAATCAGTTGCAACCTGTCGATGATGTGATCGGTTTCGATACACTGGACACAGCTGGAGATGAGATCGTGGTGAACTCAAGCCATACTAGCGATATTATTAAACATGAAGCTCTTCCCAAATTTCCCTGACCCAATTAGAACGCTCGTAGCCAGCCCCTCGTAGACGGGATGCTTGGTGGGCAACCCCCCGAGGACGTCCACCGGTGGGACCCACTTTCACTTCCCTCACGTTCTTCCTTTCACTTCTCCCTGCGACTCCACGTGATCTACGGCGGTTAATAGCGGCCATCGGGCAGAACCCCCCGTGGGCCTCCTTTGAGCATCCACGTGAGGTGTTCGTTCGGCGGGATGATAAATCATTTGTTACAGATTTTGCGAGGGTATTCAGTAGAGCCGCCAATCTCTGGAGGCGAAGAATCAGCACATACTTGCCTATCCATAATTTTGTTAGGCTTACTAGTGTTTCGTTGAAGGTTCTAAACCAGTAGCTATTCAGTATCTACCCCTTTGGTCAGCTGTGGACACTGGGCAGTGTACCCCGTATTGAGACAGTGTTGGGAGCGTGTACGGAGTCCGTATGATCACCTTGAAAATTAAGCTGACTCATATGGATAGCTACTGGATAACTAGTTAACTTACTACATACTAGTAATACTTAGTACTAATGCAATGCCAACCGGCGGTCGGGTCTTTCGGATGATTCCGGATGATTCCCCCAATCACACCGACCAGAAGCGTCGCCCGCAACTTTGGGGAACGGTCGGGTGAAGCTTCGAAAAGCCTCGTAAGTCGTAAGGCTTGCCTTGGGCGCTACCGCTGACTAGCTTGTCAGGAGGGCCAATTATCTTGCACAGTAACCCCGTCCCCCCCGTCCCCCCTGCCAGGGACAGATCTACTAGTTGGCTTCCTCATTGGTTAAGTTTCAGTATTGTTGCATTCTGTTGAACTCTCAGACCCCTGAGGTGCATTCCGTAGGGCGAAAAGAGCACCATGTGTGATATCAGTTCCCGACCGAAGGGCCACCGGAGCGGAGTGGCAACCCGATGGAGATTAACATCTCTGCCAAGACAAGCTAAGCTCATGGGTATTGAACCCTCGCTTCGCTTCACTTTCCGTATAATTCCTACCCTGTAAGGCTGAACTAGTGCGACTATTAGTCCCCCGCGGAAACTGGACGGACGCAACACTGCTACACACTACCACCGAGATTATGGGTGAACAATCTAGATCTAACGAGTACTAGAGACACAATAATTTTGATACTAATACTACATATGAAAAGGGGCCTCTTGCCCTCGTCATCACCCAAGGTGGATCAAGGCAGTCGCCATGGTAAAGAGCGTGAGCAATGTCAATGCTGCGACCATTCCATATTGTCTCGCGCCGTTGGATTTGGAGGAGGGGGTCGGACAGGTGACGTTGGGGTATTCCGAATGCGTTCGAGGGTCACAAGCAAAATCGGTGGCTGTTGCCCATATACTGGACGCCGCGGAATTGTTGATTGTCGCCGCGCACGGGTTGGTGGTCGGACTGGGCGCAAGGAAGCCGCAGGCTGCCCTGGTAGATGTCACGTTGAACGCATAGGCTTCCATGGTGCCACACATGTCGGAAGATGTGGCTGCTTCGAGACTGGGTGCCTGCCCTGACTGGCTGACTGTGAAAACAACGGTATTGTATATTTCGATGATTTGATCTGGGTTGTAAGCCAAAGAGCAATTCACGCTTTCAGACAACAAGCAACTTGCGCTGTCAGCTACGGAGCAATTGTAAAGTTGTAGGTTCCAGGCAAAGGTCCAAGAGCCGTCCGGGTAGGAGAGAGTGTTGAAGATGCTGGTGGCAAATCCAGGCCCAGTAGTCGGAAGATTCAATGTAGAGAGCTCAAAAGCCCCGCCGGTGATGGAACCTGGGGCAGACCAGTTGTTGCCTTCTCGCAACCCCCAGGTGATAGTAGCTGCCAGAGGGGAAGCCAGGGACGGATTCTGCAGCGCGAAAACTATGGGCATCAGCGCCTGAGGGGTGTACGTTTCATTGCGTGGGAAAATCAAGTCCACTTCGAAGATGCCAGAAGAGACATCTGGTGTGCCGTCGCCCATTGCAATCACCGAGTTTACCACCAATACGGCCCAAGAAAGATATGGAAGGTAGTTCATGTTGAAGGAAAAGTGTGGAATGAAAAGTGGGAAGAATGAAGGACCAAACTGGGGAACAACTCTGACTGCTGGCTGTTGAAGAGGATGAAGGGGGAAAGGATAGGAGAAGGGAATTTCTCGGGCGGCTAAACGGATGTCACGGCATGATGCTGCAGGTGTGTCCCTCGAGCTAGCCCGATCTCTGCAGCCTGCGCCATTCTTACCCAATCTAGGATCTCTCATGTTGGGCCATAAGTAGTGTATTAACGCGCATAGGGGTCCGATAGTAGCCGTCCATTATCATTTCGTTATTCCATCACGTTCATATTATATTACCAGTATATTGTAGCTCCACAATAGTACAACGATCCTTGTTATGTTATGCGGACTATTTTGGATGCAAGCTCCGTCTCCCCTACTATGGGAGCCCAGTAAGACACTGCATCAGCACTCATGGGAGTGCGTCGACCACAACTTAAGAGAAACTAGGCGTGCACGCAGGAGAATTGTATTTTCCTTTTAAATCTGGGATAGCCTAATATTATGTGCATCTGCATTATCGCGGATTACGTAGGAAGCTTTCAACATCCACGCTCCGGACCAAAGAGGGAACGGATTTCCAAGTGTATGTAGAGAATTAAGACTCCTGTGGTCATCACATCATTGTCTCCGGAAATAACATTCCTCTAAGCAGTAAACAGCAAACGGTAGGCTTTCCAGATGTATCAAGGACAGACATGTAACCACTCCGCAGAAGCCGGCGAAGATACAGCTTGCCTTATAGAGTCAGGCCAGAGAAGTCGGAGCTCCTCATCCCCAAGTATGTTTGTCAGGGATGTCTGCAGATCGTTGAGCTGTAGAGGCTCAGGCCTAAGCGATGTCAATCCATTCGCTATGTCCTACGCCGACGATGAAATAAGGCCGTCCGAGGCCAACAGAAAATGCGTCGCCCAAGCGTCCTATTGCACTGACAAGTCGAATAGCGCTTGTATCTCATTGGGGACAGACGATAGCTCGGTGAACGTGGAGCTCTTCTCCTCCACACCCACTTTGAGGCCACTGTATTGTTCAGAGTCCATGAGGTCGTGGATTGATATCTTGAAGCCAGGTGATCGACTCGGGGACAGGTGGGTCGGCTTCCAAAGTTGATGATGGGAGCCAGAACACATGGAAGATGGAGGAACTTCAACGAAGGGGGTGTGTCAGTAACAGCAGTCACAAACAGATAAAGGGGCGGAAACAAACAGGAAGAAAGGTAGCGTAACAATCGAGTATTGCGGGTCTTCGATAATGCTTTCGTGTCAATGTCTCCAGTTATTCCTCATAACAACGCTTTCTCATGGGCTGATTTGACACTTGGCGGCTGCAGAAACATGCCACACCTCGCCTGGATCGGAGCATTCAGTACGGTGCAATGCCGACGACCTAGCTCATGGAACACTTACAGCATCGGTGGTTCGAGCTCGATCGGGCGAAGCAGGAATAGACGGTGGAATAACAGATACCGTCTATTTCTGCTTCGCCCGCTCACCATTTGATCGAGCGCTCGCTTGTCTCTCTGGAACAACCGTTTCTGATGGAGTCAACCACTGTTGCTCAATTCGAGGTCAATATGTATAGGGTCAGGGTCCTACCCTGCTTCCAGGTCGGTTCGACACCATGAGAGACTGCACGAGGATTAATAGTCTCACTTCAATAGACAGGTTCAACGTACATGTTCATAAAGGCCACGGCAATGGAGGCCACGACAGAGGGTAAGGTATTTGGCATTGCGCGTCTTCGTACCCCTGTCTGCCTTTTCTGCTCTAGACGTGGGACCTTTAGTTCTGCTGTTAGAGTACGATCTTAAACTCTCGGCAGCACGGTAGCTCATGATGAGGACTGCTCTTACACAGGCATATTGTTGATGCAGAAAGCGAAATTCACAACGACTGACCTATGAGAGACGTGGATAAAATGGTCGCGTACAATACAAGAAAAAGGGCAGCCCAGGCGATGTTGCTTGATTTCTTGAGTTCAAGGTAGAAGGGAAAGTGGTTGTTAGAGATGTTAGATGGCTCTGGGAGACGAAAGATTGCCAAGAGACTGGACTGGTTGTAAGAGATGGGAGACGCGGAATGTCTAGTACTTTAGAGGTGTGAACAAAGAAGGTCCTCGCTGAGGACTAGAAGCTATAGGAAGGTGCAGATCATGTGACAAGGACAAGCTGAACTAGTAAATTGCATATGCCACACAATGTGTTGCGTGGCCCCAGTCGAATGTCTCTACACATCGCGTGGTTTCGTTCACTGTAGCCAGGCATCACCTCATCAATTCAAAAACAGCAATTTGTGCCAGAGCCTAGTTTTTGAAATCACGCCGCAACCCAAGGCCTAGAGGCTTCAAAATTCAAAAAGTTTCTCGTAACTCTCTTCGCTATCGTTTGATGCCAATTTTATTTGGGTTATCATGACGATGGCGTCGAAGGCGACCTAACCCGCAAGAAAAAAGGAACATCCAGAAGAACGCGCTTTGGGCCTCCAACACGATGCAAACGCACTGCTGAGGCACCTGGAAGAGAGTCAAGGCTCTTGAACTGCCAATCCAGTCACTGATTATATCAAGGATGAACAGGAATTTCTGATTGGCCTCTTCAAGAAGCCCCCAGGGCGCTCCTGGTGGCAGAGGCCCTCCACGCGGAGATCAAGGCGCTGCGTCAAAGCATGGAAGAACGCCTGCACTCGTTGGAGATTGCCTCGAAAGGTCCCTCAGCCTTCCCTGCTAACATGCGCAGCTGGGCTGGCATGCATTGCCTTGTGTGATTACTGCGAAGTCGAGGAGGACATTATATATCGCAACTTACCCCCCTCGAACTATGGCACGGTGACCACCGTGATACCGAGACCTAGCAGGCACTGTCGCTAGGAGTCGGAGGCACCGGTGCAAAGGTGTTCCTCAAGTCCTGGAGCTAGGTGTCGTTGTATGTGCCACCAACTGCTCTGATGGCAGCATCAATTGGGAGTATGCCTGGGTGGTGAGTCTCGTCAGCCACTTTCATCCTTCTCAGGACAGGAGTTGCAAGACTTACCGAGTTGATCACTGAAACAATTATAAATTACCATTGCCGCAGCACCCGAATCACCGGTGCCTTGGCCGAAGCCTTGGAACAATTCGCACGTTTCGGCCGTGAAACAGCTGGTATCTGGAGCTGACAGTCCAAAATTCGGCGTCTCACCGGCATGGAAAGTGTTCATATTGGATTGGGAGTCCTTCTCGGCATGCTACAATTCTGGCTTATTGATATTCTTCCAGACGTTGATGGCATCGGACCATACATTGGAAGCGCCCAGCCGCGCCCAGCGCCGGGCGCATGGCATCCACAGGGCATTTTGAATCGCCGGATTTGTACAAGTTACGGAAGTCCTGTTGCACATTCAATTACCCTCTACGTAAGGGCCTTTATTCAGAACGATGCCGTCGATGAGGCTAGATCAGCTCTTGGCATTGAAAGGGATGAATTGAGCTACGTGTGGCCGTGATCGCACCATATCTCATGTTCATATGTAGATCTGCCACTTGAAAATGGGGATTGAACTTAATTGACCTATAGCGTACGTGTTGCCATCAACACAAGTCGATTCGCTATTTAATGAGGCAACTCGTCATGATCACCAACACTCGCGGAATATCGCCAATAAACAACAAGCCCGGCATACTCATGTCTCAACGGGCGGCGGCCATAGATATGGTCTTTGGCCATCAAGACGCTACACCTGGAAATGCTTCCTGGCTCACGTTGTACATGATATTTATGATATTATTTGTCAAGGCTGTTACAAAGATCACTAATATCAAGAACAATCTGAAAAACAATCATCAGTTGTGGGATACGCGTGGACCGACAGACATGCAGACAGCTGAGATTGAAACAGCGCGCATATTAGTGGCTATTGTGACAAAAACCGGGCTCGCGAAATAGAGAAGATTCGCTGATTGATCAAATCAATTAAGAAAGATGTATCAATAGTCAGAGACCGCGCTGAAGCTTTGGAGAGATTGAGGTATACCTCAACTGTGCCCCATTGATAAGGGTATACTGTGTAATCTATTTTATATAGATCAGGCAGAAGAAGCCCAGACAAAGGCAGAGAGTTCTAAAGGTTGTGAGAGACATCTCCAGAGGGACTTTTTCCGATAGAATCCGTAATATTGCAGTTATTACCGTTCGTATGTGCTTAGCAGGATACGAAGGGATAAGAATGAACAGATGAAGTTATTGTACTATGTTTTTAGTATCCGCTAACTAATTATGAAGCCACAGTTAATATGGATTTGGGGTATAGACTCTTCATCTCTAGTCTTTCTTGACACTCTAGATGCTCCTCGGTGTTATAGGCCAAAAAAAAAAAAAAAATAATAATAATAAGCGTAGAGCCTTAGTTCGAGGGCGGCGAGGCGTGAAGAACATGGACGAAGAACCGCGAGGATGGACTCGTGGGCAGCCGATCAGTCGACTGCGCTGCATAGATAGCATGTTCAATTCAATCCATAATCTTATACCTGATCGAACTCGCTATGGAAGATGCTAGCTATGCAGGTGCTTCACCGTTTGAAGCAAGAATATGGCCCGGAACGCCCTCAAATCCGGCGTATGCGAGCGATTCACTATCGAATGGACCGTAAATATCATTGATTCTTATGAATTCCAGAATTTGCTGATCCATATCATACAGGGATAAATGGACTCCAAAATCCCAAGATACCTTCACCCGCCACCCTGGGGTCGGGTAGTCTACGGCTAGATGCCTCCATCAGTCTCATCAGCACCATGATTGCCAATGATAATCTCATTGAGGGTGGCGGCGGTAGCCCATCGTTAGACTACCTAATAAATAATCAGGCCAACGCTCAAACTGAGAGTTACATCAGCAAGGCCCTCTTTGGCTTCGCCATACCATCCGTCTGGGCCGTCTCCGGTACCGCCTCCTTCGTCGTCAACTCGGGCTATGACTGCAGTGCGCAGAGCCCTTTGACCGATTATATGACCGCATCAAGTCAGAATATTGTGACTATTACCAACGAGGCTATCTTCAAGTATGCCTCTAATGTTTCTGTAGGTGCGAAGGGTTATATGGAGTGTGGTGGTAATGCAGGTAAGAAGGTTGTGCGTGGTCTGTATTAGTGAGTATTTGCTCTGACATTTATTGGATGTATAGACCCTCTTTTAGAGGCCTGATTATGTATCATCGATTAGCTCTATACAATAACTAGGGGGATCAGAATGGTGCTTCTAGTCTTGAAAGACACCCCGCGCTTCCCTCCGCCCCAGCAACTAGCGTCATACATAGACATCCACATGTGGCAGTCTGTCCATTGGGCAAGGACATACAAAAAATATACATCTCTAGCCACACTACACACCCCCTCTTTCCCTTCCCCTTTCAATTGGTAGTTTCCACCACATCCCCCAAAAGAGCAATCCCCAGCTTACTCCGATCCAAAAACCCTTCCTCATCTGCAGCAATTTGAGCTGCCGCTTCAGGCGCCATCACCTTCGCCGAGAACGTCTGGAAGGCTGTCTGGTCCGCAAAGGTGAGTTCAGCGTAGGCATCAAAATCGAAATCTGTCTGGCGACCAACAAGAACAGTGGCAGGAGTAAGGGCATTGCGAGTCGAGTTGTTGTTGCTTTCTTCCGTCTGGGAGTTTTTGATGGTGGTACGCGCGATGTACATGCGCTTGTGGGACAGGGGGAAGTCGTCGCCAGAGAGACGCTTGACCAGCTCGATGTGGGCTTCGTAGCGGTCCTTGAAGATTTGGAGGTCAAGGCCGGGTTTACGGTAGGCGTAGATGATGACTCGGACGGACATTTTGGGATTGTTTTGGTAGGTTTGAATTATGAAAACATAGTGTGTGATACTTGGAGTATGGGGTTTTGACTTGATGCCTCTAGATGGGACAATATTGGGGGGCTTCAAGAGTGAGGTGAAGTATTAAAGAGGGGTTGAGGAGAGTAGCAGGTTATATAGGTTTTCTTTCATTCATTTCTGGCCTTGTCTGTGTGGGAAAAGTTGTTTGTTCAAGGGACGGTCACAACTTGCTGTCTTGTTGGCTGTCAACAGACCCCACCCTGTTAGATCAGTCCGGCTATCCACAGACTACTGCGTGCACTGCGTTAGATCAACGCACCAAGATGTATTGGTGGTCAAGTCAGTCCTAAATAACCAAATTAGAGTTCTATGTCCCTAGAGATTTATAGCATTATCTTTTGATGTCTACTACGATTGACCCCGGTAATTTTTTTAATACAGTGGGAAGGTGCAGGGATCTGAATCCTTTGGATTCTGCTGTTCATATGATTATTAATACTTCATAGTTACGGCCATTCAGCGTTGCTATTCAAGGCTTCACCATGGCGATTTAAGAAGGTGGTGCTGTATGGGAGACTTACCGCTTCAAGGATTCAAATCCCTGCCACTCTCCACCGTACTAACAAAGTCACCGGGTCAACCAGAGTAGGTCTGTGACAATGTGGTGGTCCATGGCAATCAAACCGGTCCGAAACTAACAGAGTAATGTTGAAATCCCACGGTCAGTTCGCCCTATTTACATAGCAGAAGTATGGAACATTGGTGCGTACTGGTCCGCGACTTACCCTGATCTGTCAACAAGAATAACTGCTAACAACCCCAGTGCCAGCAGGTCCAGCTGAGATCACTATCTCTCTTCTTCCAGGGTGACAAGCCCAAGAGGGGCCTGTAAAATACAATCTTCGATCCCACTGGTACAGTATCGCTCGGCATGATGAGGACACGAACCTGGCATTATGCAATCACGCAGCAGAGGTTCGCATTTGAGTCAAATGCGAGATAGTCGGCCAATTGCTCGTACTGATTGCTCTTTCTGGGGTTCCAGCCTTGTCGTCGGAGAGCTGCGCGGTATGTGCGGTCTTCGAGGTTGTGGTGTAGCCGAATACCCGCGTCGGCGAGGACTTTGGCATCGGCATCGCTAACAGCTTTTAGCGCAGCGAACAGAGTCTCAGACGGTATTTCGCCCATCTGATCGTATATTGTGACATTTTCGACGTCGGTCGTTCTGGTGTGCGTTAATCAGATATGGTAAGATGAGATTGGCTGCTTTCATGAATGGAAAGTACCAAGAATGATAATATTGGATATAAGCACACTTTTCTTGATGCCGCTATCTTGATGAATTCGGGACGCTAACGGATCTTAGTCTGGGACAATTTGTATGGATTTAACCACAGCCCGATATTTAGTGAATTGCAGAACTTACTCTATGCAACGTACAATATAGCAGACTTGGTAGCGCAAACACCGGTACGAAGTCGACGATTTTTCTCGCACGCCATGTGGGAGACAGAAACTATTCTATTAATGCCGTGAGGCGCTGGTGTTCGTCTGGATAGAAGGATAGATGGATAGAATGGACTATCTAAATATAGCGCAGCCAGAGCATCCTTGCTGTCAGATCCGCTCGTGGTTCACTTCAGGAGTGAATCCTCCGGACTTTAAGCGACTAGGCCATCCAGTGAAAGTCTAGGATTCTGTGCTAAACAGCTCAGAATGAGCATCCCTTATAAGCTTACTCTATCAGGTTAATGTGAGATCCATCAGATTCTCACACTTAGTGAGCACCTGCGGCCGGAACACACTATCAGGCTGTGAGATTACTATTTACAGAACCCTGTATATTAATCTACAATATTTGAATACTATAATTGAAAGATAAAGCTATTTCTAATTTTTCATTAATTTGTTGAGATATTTAGAGCTAAATCCTTATACAATACTCTTAGTAAGTTTATAAAGATATCCTCCTGTGAGATCTATGGTACTTTTAATCCATATATATATGTTCTTAACATTCTCTATATTTCTTTAAATTGCACATAAACTATTGATATGATTTTTTACGAGAGCCTGCTCTAAGGAACCTTTCCAGGGGAAAAGGTTCAAAACAAGACCGTAAGGCCTCCACTACCCGCAGATACTCTGTGGGCCCCTAGAATTACCCGTATACTGACGCGGGTGACCAACCCTTGTAAGGACTCGCTTCCTTACGATGTACTGAAGTGAGTATCACAAAGGAACAGGTGCAAAGGTTAAGTTGATGCTGAAAGGTAGGTTGCGTGTAACCCATATGTCTGCAGTGTATGCGGTCAATTCGGAGCTGGAAGCATGAATCTTAGAAGGGCCTGTCCTTATCCTCTAATGGGCCTGCTGTTCAAGCGAACATTTGTGATGTAGTATGCAGCCAGCTGTGGCCGGCTTGAGATTGTGCGTAAGCACTGACTGATTGGGGGAGGTAAAAAAGGTACCCGCCAAAATTACTGAATATTTGCGTCAGGTTAGAGACATTCGTGCTTGTATCAGGAATATTTGATCTCGCTGACCTCATTGTTCTTCGTCAATACCCTGGAGTGTTCCCATTGCTTTGGAGTCGAGTCCTGGACTGATACGAAGCTATTGGTCACAGAGGATGGTCGTAAACCGCTACCGCTGCCGCTCAGCATCCTGGAAACAATGCTTGAGATGTGCATAAGTTGCCTATCTAAGAAAGAACTACGGCTTCTCGTCTAATACTTCACTGCACGCTTCTTCGCCTAGGGGGCCGTGTGGCCGTGTGAGGCAGTAATATTAGTAGGCTTGGTCACGTGGTTCCGGCTTGGGCCGCCTCACCAAACACCCCTTCGCGCTCTTTCCGCTGCGCCTTTCTAGATAGCAATACAACACAGATCTTGCTGCATTCTTTTGCTTCCTTTTGCTTCTCCCCTGTAGAGCGTGCCCGAATAGGCTATAAGCCTGGCCTCTTTGCCGTGAAACTATATGACTCGCTACACGCAATCTTTCGGCACCAAACGAGGCGGAGGGCCTATGGCCACTAAGGTAATGAACGGGGACGCGCCGGTCTTGGTGATGATATCGTGATCCAGTACGAACCTCCCGTTGCGCCAAGAAACGCGCTATACCACGCCATTTGTCGAATATACCCGTGTCAACCACTCTAATCCATTGGTCAACATGACATTCGAAGTAGGACGTGATTGTCTCATTCGAAGGGATGTCCCTTTACCACGGTACCCCCAAACAAGCGAGCAGATAGGGTGCCAGAGAGCCCGCAAAAGGGTCTACCAGGTTTGCCTCTCTTGCTGCGAGGACGTTTGAGCTTCTCTGACTGGGACTTCCAGCTTAAGCTGGCGCTCAGGAACATTGACTTGCAAGATCTCGTTGACCCGAAGCTTCCCGAACTACGTGCTACGCACGCGAAACACAGCGTGGCCAATTACTTGACACCCATACAGTCGTGATTGATCGGGCAGCTATCGAGAGAAGTAGTGAGGAAGTTCAGAACGTCTGACGAAGACAAGGAATATGTCTACGACGCGTATAAAGTGGTACGCAGCATCGTGTTTGGTCATGGTGTTGAGAGTGTCAAACTGTCGTTATCAAACTGACCAGGGGCCGACCTTCTACTTCTCACACGCGTCTAGAGTGCCAGACATTCCGCTTCTCTCGTCTCTTGCAACAACTAGTCCAGTCTCTTAGCAATCTCTCGTCTCTCACCAACATAACACCTCTACTTTCCTTCGGTCTTGCTTCTAACAGAAAGAGTTGCATCGCCTAAGGTGCCCTTTCTCTTGCTTGTTTGTGGCCACCTTATACACGCCTCATACGTTAGAAGTTGTATATTTCGCTTTCTGCGTCAACAATACACCTGGTGATCGTGGATCTCGTTTCTGTAGTTTCTGCTCCAGACCGGGGCACGAAGACGCGCAGTGCAACTTTCTTACTCTTTGTCGTGGCCTTATGAACTTTCTCTTATGATGTCACCGGCCTGGAAGCAGAATAGGCCTCACGGAGACTGTTGTTATGACAGCTCCATTTCTACACATGCTCAACCCACCCCGGCGGAACAAGTGGCATTGCTTGTACACAACCTTGTTCCTGGTAGTAAGACCTTCCCTGACAAGCCCACCATGTACTGGCGAGTGGGAGCATACAGTGTGCGAAGTTCAGCTTTCTCAGTCTATCTTGGCTGTAAATTAGCACTCTGTGCTGGAATAAAGGGTGTCAATTTAATCTTACCAGTGCCCAAATAGGCTCTCATGTGTTTCAGGCCCTCCGGTTCCGTGTACCTTGATTCTTTTCTCACTCGGGGTTGACCTTCTACTTCTCTCACACATCGAAAGGAGATGTTCCGTTTTCTTCATCTCCGGCTACCAGTCCTGTCTTTCATTACCTCTCGTATCTGAGAGCCATCCCTCTTCTCTGGCAACTACTATACAACTACGTTTTTTTTCCTTTTTTCTTGAATTGAGTTTAAGAGAACGAGCTTCGGTGCTTAAGGTACTCTTTCTCTTATTTGTATGCGATCACCTATTTCACATCTCTTATAGCTTAGGCATCGTGACTCTACTTTCTGCGTCAATAATATACCAGGTGGTCGTGTAAGAGCAGTCCTTATTATTAGCTACTGTACTGCGAAGAGATTAGAGTACTATTCTAACTGCCAGCTTAGGAATCTTGTTTCTGTCATTTCTGCTTTAGTCAAGGACACGAAGATGCCTAATGTCACTATCTTACTCCGTGCCGTGGCCTCTATGAACTAAGTAGTACGTTGAACTGGATTTCCATAGTGCGATTACTAATCCTTGTGCAATCTTACATGGTCTCGAACTGACCTGGAAGCAGAATAGGTCTCACTGAAACTCGGGGGTGGCTCGACAGACTGGTCAACCGTCGGATAAGAAATAGACGCCGAAGCTCAACAATCAGTCATGTCAGTTTCTACCCGCCCACTAAGATTCGGAAAAGAGCCAGCACACCTAGTTGGCCCCAGCCCCAACTACATATTGGAGCTCCTTGCCAAAAGTGACCTCGAACATGCGTCCATTAATGCGGTCTTGATACTCCGGTATAATGAAATCATAACTCTCCTATGCCGATATTGACATTGTATTGCCGGCGCGAGGAATAGAAACCTATAAATTTTTTTTAAATGGTAAAGTGATACTTTTTACCAAGAGCAAGCTTCTCGCTTGAGGCACCCAGACAGATGAAATGACCAAGACCCTTTCAGAACGTAAATATCTTAGGCTTGCTCATGTAGCATGCTACATCGTGTTTGGCCGGGGGCGAAAGGACATGCGGATAAAGAGTAAGACATCACGACTATAGCTTTGGTGCTATTTCCACTCCATACAGGACCACCTCTAAACAAACCCACAGGAGTCATTATCTACTGCAACCCGAGAGGAAAGTAATATGCCATCGGAATTCCGACCATAGTGATGAGATTAACTTCGTATTCTAACCAATCTTTTTGCGTGGTACATTTCCGAAGGGCATTACTAAGATGACCCGAGGGCTGCGGTCGGAGAAGGCGATCGGGTCGCTCTCCAATGAGTGGTTTCCACATCTCTCTCTTTACATGATTTTTGAAATCTCCTTCTCTGCAGATCACAGATTGCGATATATGACAAGATTAAAAATGGCTAAAAGCCAGAGTCGTCCTCCACGCAGAAAGGCATGTAGCAACTGTATCAAGTCTAAGGTACGGTGCACTCTAGATCGACCCGCATGCTCTCGGTGCAGGTTGACTGGCCGAACCTGCGATTATGGTACTACGACTACAGCCTTGGAGCATCGCCACTTTCCTCGCCTACAAGAAACACATATTGGAGAAACCGATTCGTTAGAGAGTCAAAGTGTGCCTTCGCCTTCAGTTCCAGAACTCAGCTCAAGAGTGTTGCAGACGCCACCATCTTTGTCATATACTCCCAGTCCTTCTGCGAACAATACTATGTGGTGTCCGCCAAACCAGCAGGCTCAGGAACTTCCCATCGAAGCGTTCTCAAAAGAGAAGGAATTCGACTTCGAAGCGATCAATTTGACCCCCAGCTCAATTGCAGAGGATATTCGCGACCGGTGGCTTAGGCCCTTTTTCCTGCCTGCGCACGGACGAAGTGAAACTCCAAAAGTCTGCCATCCTCATACCCTACAATTTATTGCGCGGATTATGAAAACATATCCGCGATACATGTTGAGGGACAGACGACCCCCTCCTATTATTCACCATGTCCAGGTCAGAGAGAATGAGACACCTCGAGCACTGGCGAACTGCTACAGTCTGGTACGTATGTGGGAACAGGCAGTCCCAGGGAGTGAGGAGATAGTCTTGAATACAGTTGCACGGGAGATGGAAAGGCTCGCTAGTGAGGTATGCATTTCTATACACTGCACAAGTTACAAACCACAGGTGATAACACATTTGAAGAGTCCAGATCAGCATGACTACGAGCTCTTATCTAGCTTTCAAGCCTACCTCATCTACTCAATCTTAATGTACTTTGGCCCTCGAGGCGGTTTCTCCGACACAATCATAATAACTCTCATGAATATGGCATCCCAGACCGCTCGAAACGGCCTCTTCTGTGCCGCTGAGTTAGCGCGGACCAGACCGACATGGGAATCCTGGATTGTCGCAGCCACGAAACGCCGTGCAATATTTACTCTCTATATTTTTAGTAACATCTATAACGCGGACCGTATGCTACCCAATTTCGTCGCCGAGGAGCTGAGAGGTGTCTATGCCCCGGGTAATAAGGCACTATGGGAAGCGGCTGATCGAGAAACGTGGAATAAGGAGTATGATAGATACTTATTAGATTGGCAAGATGGAAGCTTGGAAATATCTGAATTATGGCCATCTACGGAAATGGAGGAGCCGGAGCGGAGGAGAAGGATCGAACGCTGGGTTCAAACAGTTGATGAGTTTGGCATGATGCTATATAGTGTTTGTGCCCATATCCATGGTTCCTAATCAGAGATACACAGTCTCGGGTGGTGAACTGCTTCAACCCCTTATCCACTTATTTCTGCTGGTAATAGAGCCGGCAAAACTATGGGCAGGCAAGTATGTGCTGACTCTTCGCCTCCAGTGATTGCCGGCTCTACTGACTACCCCCGCAAATTTTGTAACAAATGATATATTATCCCGACGAACACCAGCGCCTCACAGAATCCGTAGTATAGTTAATGTCTCATACATGGCGTACGGGTACTATCTTCGCCTTCGTATCAGTTTTCGCCCTACCTGTTCTGCTATATTATATGATGGATAGTGTAGATTCTGCTATTCAATGTCTATAACGAGTTATTCATATACATTCGACGCCACGAATCTCCTAGAGCAAAGCACCAATTATGCGATATATCGCAGGATAGGTTTGCGGGAGACTAATAGCCTGCAGTTTTCGGCTCGCTGGTTTGACATTCTGGATCCTCCTCCATAGTAACACCAGCTTCCTCCAGCAAATGAGGGAACCATCTCAACATCCGGTCGCGAAAGACTTCATATCCGGCTCCCTTCCGCAGCACCCTCATATTCTCCGCATCGAAATTCATACCACCGCGCTTGTACACTTGCCATTTCTGTAGGCCGTAATCCACCACCAAGTCTACCGCGTTGATCACCTTGGGCTCAATGTCCTCGACCCGGAATCGCTGTCCTTGGCCTGTCAGATTGGCAGAAGTTCCGAACATCAACATACCCGTCGGATCATCGTCGCAAAGGCGACCCAGTTCTCGCAAGAATGGGCCTTCAGGGACTGCTATACTGACTGTATCGCCCTTCGTGACTTGCGATAGCGTCGCCGGATCGAGAGCTGCCAAACGCGGGTGAAGATTTTCGGTATCATATTTGGCAATGATCCCGACAATCATCGCCATATCTTCAGTCAGAACCCGTGTCATCTCGAATTTGGCCTCCGAGAGCACGTGAATCTCATAATGCTGTTTGTATGTCCCGATGATACCGATGTTGTGACCCTCTCGGCGATCTTTGGCTGAGAATATCTGCTGGACTCCAGCCTGCGTGCTCGTCAAGAGTGCATAGCCGACATCGGTTGGGATGATGACGACTCCACCGTTTTTTAGAGTGTCGTAGGTCTGCTTAGCATCGCGAGGGACATTAGGCGCAGTGCCTTGTTCGGGTATGAAACGGGGAGCCATTCTCGATCGATTGTCGTACTATTGTGTTGGAGGCTAAGGACAGCCGGCGAGGATACTTCAAGGCAAAAACGTTGATTGCTGGACGTTTGCGAATCCGTGGAGGGGCTGACTAAGTGCTGTTCGACTTCCTCCTGGGCTAACGAGTTTGGGCCACTGTCCCCTTGCCTTTCAGTGCTCTTCAGTCGGTTCTTTCCTTTCCCAGATTACGAAGAGTCGGTTTTGAAGAATAAAGAGACGTCCTCCGGATGCATAAATGTGCGATCACAGACTAGGAGGAGTGACAAGATATAAAACAACACGGCCTGTCATTATGACGCGGAGATACCGCGGTTACTCGGAGCAATACCGTTCGGAGTTGTACCATGGAACAGGAATTATTAGTATTTAAAGTTTATTTTAGCGGTATGCTCGGAATTCCGATGATAGATTTTCCTGCTCTCGGAGTTGCAGTAGACACCCCATCCGTCTATAAAACTTCAAAGGAATGACCTACTGAGAGTGCAGAGCTTGATTTTCTATCTGTCACTCGTTTCTACAAATAAACTCTCTTTTTTCTTTCATAATTAAACTTACAGTATACTATCCGTCAATTGTTACATGAGTCCTGTGTCCTCCAACATGGAGGTCTTATTGCGAGATAGTACATTCGGCCGAATTATCAACTACCTCTCCAATGGCAAACTCTTTCCGGCACCAGATCACGCAAGAACGAAAAGTGAAGTGACGACAAGAGAAAGTCCGTCGCCTACTTCTTCAGATACTCTTGGCCTTATCCTTGTGGATTTTACCGGGCCCGATGATCCCGACATGCCCAGAAATTGGCCAATGTTGACCAAGACTATTGTCATGATTGATGTGATGTTATTAAACTTCAGTTTCTACGCGGCATCGGCAATTTTTACGCCAAGTATTCCCATAATTGAGAAGGACTTTGGTGCGACAAATGCGGAGGGAACATTAGGACTCTCCCTCTTTGTCATTGCATATGGCATTGGGCCTCTCATTGTACGTCGACATCACCCATTTACGTATAATGTTCTGCTTGTCGGCTAATCACAGAGTACTTACAGCTTTCTCCACTGTCGAACTTACCCTCTATTGGACGTACTCCAGTATATGTCCTTGGCTCCCTTGCATTCTGCCTGTTTAATATCGGGACTGCTCTCGCCAAGAACCTGCAAACCATACTAGTTCTACGGTTTTTTGGAGGCCTAGTTGGAAGTGCCCCTATTAGTGTGGGAGGGGCTACTCTGATGGAGGTCTTTCAGCCTAACCAGTGCCCGTATGCAATTGCCCTGTACGCGGTCAGTGGGGTCTGTGGGCCTATTTTAGGACCTGTATGTTATCTTCCTCGCGCGACTAAGTGTTCCTGAGCTAATTTGGTGACTATAGATTCTTGGAACTCTTGCGGTGTAAGAACTTGTCTCCTCTACCCCGGAAACATCAAAGCTAATGGACAAAATAGTGAGCGCTGGCAAACATGGACCGCGACTCTATGGCTTCTATCAGGCGTCACAGCATTCACGACAGTATTCATATTCTTCTTGTTGCCCGAGACATTGTACACCAATATCCTTTTACGCCGAGCACAAAGACTACGTAGGCAAACGGGAGACCCTGCATATCAAAGTCAAGCCGAGTTAGATACACCAGGGGCAAACCTTGCTGTGCGCATCGTTAGACAAACAGTGGATGACTTCAAACTATCTTGCACGGACCCGGTAATACTGTTTGTCAACATGCATACGATGCTCATTTACGGCATACTGTACCTATGGTTTGAGTTCTTCCCATTCGGTGAGTCAAATTCGATTCTGTGGCCGTACTTGCCTGCAAATTACTCACTGCTCATAGTGTTCGATGGAATCTACCATTTCACTGCCATCCAACAAGGCCGTAAGTCTCTAGCCAAAGTCTCTCTGATCTACTCTAACTTGATTTATAGTTGCATTTTTTGGTATTCTCGTCGGCGCCGTAGTGTCCGTCATTGTATACGCGCTGTGGCTATATCTTTCATACCAGCCACGGGTCGCAAATTCAGATATCATTGTGGAGCCTGAAGCTCGCCTAGTCCCCGGTCAAATCGGAGCAGTCTGCATTCCGATTTGCCTCTTCATATTCGCATGGACGTCGAGAGAGAGGTGAGCGAATCAATGCCGTTTATATGTATAAGCCAGTACTAATATCGCGTATTTAGCGTGCATTGGATCGCCCCCATCATTGGAACTGCTTTCTTTGCACCAGGCTTTTATCTCACATTCCAGTCTGTACTCAATTATCTTGGAGAGTCTTATCCAAGGTACATAGCCAGTGTATTTGCTGGAAATACCTTCTTTCGGAGCTCATTCGGCGGTGCTTTGCCTTTGGCTGCTCCACAGATGTTGAAGTCGCTTGGTATTGGTTGGTCGTCGAGCACGTTAGGCTTTATTTCCGTTGCGATGCTCCCCTTACCTTTTATTTTGGAGCGGGTAAGATACTTCTACAGTGCCTCAAACCTGGAGTATTAGCTAATCGTTCGACAGTATGGAAAGCGTCTACGCTCGTGGAGCAAGTATGCCAACTAGTTATTCTTGGGGAAAGGAATCCTCCGGGCTGCTGCAGTGTGGGCAGAGTGACTCTTTGCCCATCTTACGGCCAGAGATGGAATCAATCCTTCGGTCATATGTTCCTGGTACAGAATAGATCTTTCGGTCCGCAACCTACGTACGGCGATATGGCTCGGCTCTCAATTATACAATCTCTGTTTTTCACTTTCTTTATTTTAACTTTTGTGAAATAGTTTTCTAATACAAAACTTTGGGCTTCTCCAATCTATAATGTTATCTATGAATCAGAGTTGATGCATCGATCATAATCATCTGGGTGATAGATAGTAATATATTCAAATAGAACATCAATGGCAGCTGATGCTTCCCTAGATACAATCGTATCTCATTCAACAAAATATCTCCCTCCTTTTTCCATTTTGAGGGTTACAATGGTGTGCGACAAACTTCTAAGCTATGCCAATTATGAATAAATGCGCAAAGATCTTCCAATGCAGCAGTTGATATTCCTGCACCCGCACATATTTAATCTAGCCGGACAGCGCGAATCATCCTATTTAGCCCTTCCTCTAAGACGTGAGGAGGATGCGCAAACACCATGCGAAACCATCCCGCTTCTTCTGCAGCATAAATAGTCCCCGGTGCGACGTATACCTTTTCTTGTCTAAGTCTCGCAAGCATTTCCTGATCAGTGGCTGTTCAGCTTTTCTTAACAGCCCCTAAATTCAGCCATATGAAAAAGGCAGCATTGCACTCCACGTAGGGAACTTTATGGGCCTGAAGAAATTTCGTTGCAAATTGATAGCTCTCTGATAACCGACGCCGGTTAGTCGAGATGTATTGCTTCAACAACGTGTCATCTGATAGCAACAATGAGGCAATTCGATCTGCAACACTGGACGGGAAATTATAGAGACTGAATCAAGAGAACAGTTAGCGTCTGTCCCGACTGGGGGCATATTGTGAGATCCCTACGATATGCCTTCTACGGCATCAAGGAGCATCCTGTTGCGTTTGCTGATTAGGCATCCGATTCGTAAACCGGTTGAACCAAAATCCTACTCACGGTCAGACACTTATGTTCAGATGAAGTTCTGAAGGGCTTCATACTTTGCTTAAACCCCAAACAACATGCACCATTTCTGAACTTATGAAATCCTCTATGTTGAACGATAATATCGACTTGAAACGGGGTTCATCAGGAAGGCGCGGATTCTCCCAGACGGAAAGCGCATATATTTCGTCGCTGATCAAATGGAGTCTGTTTCTGGAACAGAACTTCATATATTCTTTTAATACATCGTCGGAGTAGCAGCGTCCTTGATAGTGGTTCAATGAAGTGCATCTTTTACGTGAGCAGGACTGGAGCTTACCAAGAGGATTATGTGGCGAGCACAGCAGTAAAGCCTTGACTCGGAGGCCTTTCCTTTTGGCTTCTGCATAAGCTCGCTCATACTCGTTGATAGCGTCGATGCTGAATGGGTCGGTTGTACCAAAGGCGACCTCAAGTAGTTCGATTCTGTAACAATCAGCGCTTCACCACAGAAGCATTGTAACGTTCCTTACTGTGGTCGCGTTCCAAATATAGTCTTAAAAGCGTTGAAGTATGGGCGTCCAACGAGAATGTAGTCCCCAGCATCAGCTAGAGCCCAAGCACAGCACTCGAGTGCGTTGCTAACACCTGATGTGACAGCAATGTCACACGGATATAGTGCAGTCCGGGGGTTGAAATAACGGTTCAAGAACTGGCAGATGGCATTTTTAAGCCGATGCGAGCCACTAAACCCGTCCCCGTATGTTAATACATGTGCGTCATATTGGACCTGGCACCATTAGTATGGGGCCTTGGTAGACTAGACGTGGATATAGTTGTCTTTTACATTGCTGTTGACAAATTCCATCATCTCCGCATGCATGAGGGTCTGAAAATGTCAATGATGAACTCAAAAAGAAGTCCGCGCATTTCTGTCCTACTTTTTCGGCCAGACCCAGGTTCACAATACCATCGGGATTGGACTGCGCATCCCACAGGTCCCCCAAAACATCCAGGAAGGCCGGTTTCAGGGCTGCGAACGCCCTACCTCTTGCTGAAGTGATCTCCATGCTGAATTGTAAGCTATTATAGATTTTGGAAAAAAAATATGCAAAATCAAACACGATGGTACAAAGCCCCAACTCAATATAGGTTTAAGTTCTTCACATGACGCCACGTGGGGGCATGTTCCGGGAAGGCGCATCCGCATGTTATTGCGGGTATTGCGGGTAAAACAGGAAGATCATCGACATTCTTCTACCCTGAAGTTTCTCGGAATTTTTCTTTTTCTAGAAGCATATATTTCCTGGATCCTACAAATGTACGAGGTGATGGCTGATGGCAGCTTACCTGCTGTCGATTTCAGTGATGGCAGGGGGTCCATCCCCGACTCGGAGCACAAGAGTCTCACCAACATTCACCCGAAAGGCTTTTTCATACGACACCCTCCTGCGCCCCATAAACTTGACGAGGATCTGACACCAGAATCTAAGTTATTTCAGACTATTCACATGGGGGCCGCCGTCGTGGATGCCAGTCGCTGGACGCTCATTGTAGACGGGCTTGTCGAGCGCCCTTTTTCCATCAATATTGAACAACTACGACAGATGCCGTCCCAGACAGTCACATCTTTCCATGAGTGCTATGGCAGTCCCATTAATCCTCCAACGAAAAATGTTTGGCGCATCGGCAATGTTCAATGGACCGGGGTTCCGCTGCGGTATCTGCTGTCAATTGCTCGGCCAGATCTCGAGCGAGGGTTGTTCGTTTGGTCCGATGGGCTGGACTCGGGTACATTTGCCGGTGTCACAACAGATAGGTACCAAAAGGACCTACCCATTGAGAAAGCCTTATCATGCGAGGTTCTTGTGGCTTACGAGATGAATGGCCAATCGTTGACTAAGGAGCGCGGTGGGCCGGTGAGGTTAGTTGTTCCAGGATGGTTTGGGACAAACTCCACCAAATGGTTGTGTCGATTGTCTGTGCAGACAACACGATCAATGGGACCATTCACGACAGTCTTTTATAATGAGCTTGATCCATCGGACTCTGAAGGCATCAGGAGAAGACCCGTGTGGAGGGTTGAGCCAAATTCGATGATAGTCCGCCCTCGTCCGGACGAAGTAGTCCTTGGTCCCGGGTACGTTGAGGGTTGGGGACGCGCATGGGGGGAAGACGAGATTTCGCGGGTTGAAATCAGTCTCGATGGAAACACTTGGAAGGAGGCAAATGTGGCACTGCGGAAGCAGTTCGAGTGGCAGCTATTTACCTTCCGAGTGCAGGTTGACCGATCGGGTAGGTATCACATTCAAGCAAGGGCCCCGGATATATCTGGCGCACAGCAGCCACTCACCGGGAGACGAAATCATGTGCCAACTGTGCAGATATGGGTAGAATCTGATTCCCCTAAGAAAAGCATACCGCGTGGCAATGGAAGTAGATGAGAGGCACTGTTTTGTGGGCATAATGAACTATTGTAATCACTAATGAGACTTCCTGCGGTTGCCATAAAGAAGCTGGATATAGCTTGCCTCCAAGTCTCCGACAGGCGGCTGTCTCAATCAGCTGCCTTGGTGTCACTGAAGAGTAGGCACAGAACAGGCATTCCCCGACGCTCAATATCTTGTCGAGTACTTCTTCGAAACACCGTTGACACGAGGGGCTAGTAACACGGTGATACTGCTCCCTTAAGAGTCGATATAGAATTTTCGTATGGATAGACCTACCGTTCACTATATATTCATACCGCCCGCTCGCATGTTGACAAAATAGTTTCCCAGCTGTCTGTTAATCAGGCCTTGCTCATCGGAAAGATGATGGACCAGTCTGTACTTTATGGAAAGACTTGGCATACTATACATTAGCGATTTCTCGCACGACACACGCTCATACATACTGTTCACTTTCACAAGGTCGTTACGACAAGATAGAAGAGTATTTTAGTATTGATTTATTTAGACTGCCTATATTAATCTACCCAAGGCTTAAACAAGCACATACGACCACAGGGTGTGGAAAACAGGGCTTCCCGTCCGCTCAGCCGTACTTAAGCCACACGCCGGGAGGTTAGTAGTTGGGTGGGTGACCACCAGCGAATCCCTTCTGTTGTATGTTTTTGCTTCCGCATAGATGTGTAATTTATTAATCTGTAAGGAAATACGCAATCGAGGTCACATAATTCAAGGGTTTGCAGCAGGTCGCATGGTTGTTGGGCGAGGAGGCGGGTTCTCGGCCCTACTTTGATTCTTCCGCAGACGGACGGGGTCCCTTCCCTATGGCTGTATGTTCCCTAACTGTGCACATATAGAGACCGTAGGTCAGTACCCTTTCGACAATTACCCTAGTCTCTTGATCAATCAATCGTCGAGTCTGGATTCCTTACTCCGTAGATTCTTGTCTTTTTATTCTTATTTTATTTTATTTTATTTTTTTTTTTGTTATGGAGCTGGATAGTATCAGTACCGGAGCTAGCCAATGAGGCAGCAACCGAAACTCCAAAGAGAGCGGTTGGAGCAAGTGGCTGGTGATAAGTAACATGGAAGGCCCTGGACTTGCAGTTAATTCTACTTAAAGGTATTCAAAGTAGATATTCTGCAGTATTACATTAAGCATAGCCTGGTAAGTTGGGCGATGGCATTGACTGTTAGGATGCTGGGTGAGGAGTGGTTCCTGGGGCAATGTCTTGTGGTGTTGTGAAGTATCGATATATGTCGATCTACCGAGGGTGCACCGTACAAAAAATGGATTTGGATTTCCACTGTTGAATTAACAAATACTGATTGGCAAGAAGGAAATGAGGCCTTCAAAGCCCTTGATTTCATTGTTGAGAGATCAGAGCATGATAAAGCGTAGACATGATATCTGCGATCCCCATCCTGGTACTGTCACTGTCTCATGAGGGTAAATATTTATAGAAGATCGTTGTTGCTTTTAGTATACACTTTCTAGTCGAATCTATAGTTTCTTAATAGCCTCTATACTTCCTATAACTTCGCGACCCCGTATCACTGATGTTGGACCCCTTCAAAAACGTTATGTAGAAGACGGGAGAGATGGACTTATTGCCTTCCACCAAAACGACAGATACAACGCAACAAAAGCGGACCACAACGGTGAAGGCGACCCCAATGACCCACACCGCGTGATCGAGAGAGCTCACTGTTGCAGTCACGGCAGCTAGGCCAGAGGAAACCTCAGAAATCTATACCGCGGTAACCACCAATGCCACAGCAAAGTATTTCTCGCACAGGGAGGAGTTCAGCTTCGATCAGCGCGGGTTTTCCACTATCCTCAGGAATGAAGCTGGCCCGCTATTCGAGGGACAGAATGCTCGTCGGCTCCGAACCAATACGGTTGTCAAATGAAATCGCGCAAGATAGATTCTCCGTTACGGTGCATAGCACAGACGGGGAATGTGTGCGAGCTAAATACGCTATCACGACATTCTCTCTGGGTGTATTGCAGCACCCTGGGGCTGTCAGATTCACACCCGAGCTGCCTAAGTGGAAGCAAGATGCCATTGCGAGTTTCGAAATGGTTACATATACCAAAATCTTCCTGCAATTCCCGTATTCGTTCTGGCCCCAGACGCAGTATCTGTACTACGCAGATCCGGTGGAGAGGGGATATTATCCTCTTTTCCAACCTTTGGACTTACCTGGGGTGTTGGAAGGATCGAATATCCTCATCGCTACGGTCGTCAATGGAGAAGCGTATCGGGTTGAGCAGCAGAGTGAGGCCGAGACCCGGTCTGAGATTATGGAAGTATTGCGCAAGATGTTCAAGGACAAGGATGTTCCAGATCCGATGGACATATACTATGCGAGGTGGACGCAGGAGCCTTGGTAGGATCTCTTCCCAGAAACTTAGTTGGTGCTTTCTCGTGCTAACTGGTCAGGTCGTACGGCTCCTACTCAAACTGGCCACCGGGAGTATCTGCCCGGACACATCAGCATCTCCGGGAGAATGTTGGGCGGGTTTTGTTTGCTGGAGAGGCTACAAGCCCACAGTTCTCGGGGTTTCTGCATGGCGCTTACTATGAAGGAAAGCGTGCGGCGGAGTCCATTGCTTCGTGTCTACGAGGCCCAAGATGGGGTGACTGTGACTTTAGTAAATGAGCTGAGGGAGCCCCCTCATATGTTGAGAGAATGGATCGCTTATTGTTGATTAATTGTTAGGTATGGCATATGGCCGCTAGATCTACTTACTAGTAGTATTCCATCTCAACTTTGGGTGTTATTTTGTCGAGACTTTGACACGTACACGAAAAACGGTATATCGCGTTTACTTGGAGGGGAGGTGGAGGGATATATTTTAATGCTGTTTGGCTTGTAGAATCAAATAAAGTCTATACAAATGCAGTGCCGCGCTTTGACTTTTTTCTAACCTTTGTATGAGAATCCACATGATGATTAGTAGGGCCTTTATGCCTCGGTAAATGTACTTCCTAATAGAAGGTGGTATGTAATTTTCTCTAATTGCTCATAGAAGGAACAAGACAGAAACAAAGGAAGAAGTAAAGAAGAAAATAGAAAAGAGCCATGATACGGGAGGATAGATCGTAGATGGATGAACTCAACATCCTTTGCTTGTTATACTACTAATCCTTTCGATCCTTCCAATCCTCCGGGCCTCGGGTTCGGCGACTTTTGAGTCTCGTCACTCGTCACTCGGGGGGATTTTGTTCGTATTTGTAAGCATGCCATCACCTCCGCACTACGTTTCGTTCGAATCTTCTTTCCCTCCTTCCATCATTGCATTATCTCCTTAAATCCATTTAGACACTAGAACTAGTTTCCAATCGATCATTATCTTATCAGACCTAACAATGGCATCGTCATCTGTCTCCCTCAAGGCCTCGGCCTTCTCGTTTGTCGCTCTGGCGGTCGGACACACGGTATGTCAGCTCTAGCTTCTAGCTACCCATGGCGTCATCCACCCCCTTGCATTAGCAGGAGCTCCAATAAGCCACAAACCATCCCATCAAAATTCACAACATCCATTAACCCACAGTCGATCCACATCTGTATAATCTATATAATCTATCTACTAACCACCAATAACCAGCTCGGAGGAACCCAATGGACCGCCGAACCAGCCTATCGCACCATCGCCGGCACCAAGCCCTGGGCTCTCGGCATTGTCGGCTGGTACCAGGTACTTAATCTATCCTCCTAGCAGACGAACGAACAAGCCATAGATACTAACATTCCATCTAGGGAAGCGCCTTTCTCTTTACGACCGGTAAGTTTTCTCGATCTCACTACCAAGCAAGAGCTTATTTAACACTGCTTATAGGCATCCTCCATTACCAATGGGCCCGCAACCCCCGAGCCCTTCAGGAGCCTACTAACAAGGCCATCGCCATCATTCTCAATGCCGCGCTGTGGGCTAGCTCGGCGTGGTATTTCAAGCATGGTATCAAGGAGAATGGATGGGTTGTCGGGGCTGCGGCTGCCTGGCAGGCCTGGTCGGTCGTAAGGGCTTGGTTGAAATACTAGAATTTTGCAGAAGACGTTATATAAACGAATAGCGGTAGACTACTGAACATAACATATTGAAGAAGATTACTCGCATTTACTATTATTAAACATTCGAAGCTCATCACCACATCAGACATCACCCACCACCGCCGTCTTCCCGACTCTCAGCCCTTGACACCGCATCCTCCCCATGCCCCGCAAGCACCCTCCGAATCATATCCTCCCTCTCCTCCAACGTCTGTAAATACTGCAATCGCTCTCTACTCCTCGCCACCCTAGCCAATTCCTCCTGCAACTCAGACGAACTCATCCTTTCATATGCCACCACTGACGCTATCGATTCCCCGTCCCTAACGCCATCAGACGATAGTTCAGCCGGTACTTCGCCCAATGTAGCCGAGGCTGATGAAGCTACTTCACCTCCACTAGCACCCTGCTTAGCATCCACTCCACTTATCCCACCAACCCCAGATCCAATCTCCGGATCACCCCGCCTCGGCTTGCGAACCGACCCAGTACTCAGCTCAAACACAGGCCGATCAGCCGAGCTATGTACGGGCCGACTATCGGATTCGTTGAGTGGCGCACCGTCGATCTCAGGGAGCAAATTCGTAGTGTTCTGAGTCATACTTTGATTCTTCCCCCCTGCATGCTGTATCGCTGAAGCCTGTCCGCTCTCTTCGCTACTATTAATACCTCCCATCTGCTGCTTCCTCTTCCTGCGCCGCTGAAACCAGGCAAATATTAGAAGCGCGATGATGGCAACAGCGATGGGCACCGCGACTCCTATTCCGGCCTTTGCGCCGGTGGATAGACCAGCTGCATCTTTATGATCGGAGGAAGATGTTTGCGTTGCTACTGAGGTCATATACATTGTGGAGACGAGACGAGTCTCTGTTACTGTGACGACGTTGGGTTGTTGGGATGTTGTTGTGGCGGTGTCGTCATCTGAGGATGTCGTGGGAGCGATGGTAGAGGAGGATGTATCGTCCGAGTCGATGCTCGAGACCACTCCCGCGGTGGCTGTTGCTAATGGGTCTTCGGTTGAAGTTGGTTTAGATGTTGATTGTGTGGATGCGTAGATTGTTGTCACGATGGAATAGATGGTCCGCACCTCGTTGATGTACTCGCCTCGCCGGTTGAGATTAATGTTTGGGGTCATGTAATCTGGGAGAATTGGATTGATGTCGAAGAGGTTGCAGAGGGAGAGAAGGGAGTTGGGCGTTACTGTTTACTTGTAAGTTAGGGCATCGGTTAGGTAGGGAGAGGGATGTACTGACATCGCTGGTCGGGGTTGATGGGACATTGGTGGAAGCATGATTGAAATTGTGCAGTCGCTGCTATTGTTGGTAAGTTGGTGCACAGGCATGTGTAGTCGGTATGGGAGCAGGTGGAGAGGATAAGAGGATAGAGGCAGTTTAACTATGTGCAAGAGGTTAGTAGGAGGTTAGGTGGTAGACCGGGGCCAGTACTGAGCAGCGGGGGATTTCGCCGAGCTTGTGAGCGACGAGATGACTTCGAGAGATAGCATCGTCAGAATCTCCTTGTTGTGTGTTGACTGAGAAGAAATGCTGTATAGCTTGTTGCAGGTTCATGGTGGCTTGCAAAGAATACGCCCTGCATGCTGTAACCGGTGGGTAAACAAAACCTGTGGCGTCGGGATTCGGAAAGAAGATGGGAAAATACGGGGGACTACCTGCATTATCTATGGGGACTGGTTGGGGAAATGTTTTGAATCGTCCTGGCACCGTGCATGGACCAGCGGCCAGTGCTCAGATAGACCATCGTGGTTAGTGAATGAGTATCTCGAGATGGGTACCTTGCTTCCCCACCTACTATCATATCTACATACTATATCATCGTCTGCTTTATCATGCCTCAAGTAGAACTAGAATTGACATTCCAAACATTTCAACACTCTATTGACCAGCTAGCGATGTTCAAACAGCTCCCGCAGAATCGTGCAATCCCCAGGGTGCGGGATGTTTTGTTCTCAAAATATCCGACATGGAGTAGCCACGAGCACGCCAGCTGCACGCCGCCGGGGAGCTTCAAGATAGTCTACCAGACAATAGGCAGACGGCAGCAGCTAAATGCAGCTGGTGGCCAGGATTATCAGATTTTGATTAAACTCATTGGTGTGCCGAGCACCAACGCTCGGCGCTAACCGAAGCCAGCGCATGGCGGTGCCTTAATTGATCCATGGATCGCTCGGTTAGGAGCCGATCGGCGGTACTCAATGAGATGTACATCAGTGCGTACGGAGCACATGAATTGGAGTATCGCCTCGAATCTATGACTACATGAGGTTGTCTATATTGAAAACGACTATATTATCTTGACAAATTTCCTATTTTCTGAGAAGACTCTGAAGCCAATACCTCCCGTTCGGACCCTCCGCGGACAGTCCGAACCACAAACCTCCGTCCCACCCTGGATGGCTATAAAACCCGCACAATCCCATAATTCCTACAACAAGAACTAAACATTTTATATCGCCCAACCGAGCTAGATATGTCCTCCCCCACCGTCCTAATAATCGGCTGCGGCATCGCCGGTCCCGTCCTCGCTATTCTCCTAAAGCGCAAAGGCTACAACCCCATCGTCTTCGAAAAGGTCCAAGCTCTCGGCGATGCCGGCGCATCATTGATGATACAGCCAAATGGGTATATCTCCCTCTTACCATCCCCATCCACAGCCTCATCTTTACAGCTAACAATGAATCAGAATGAAAATCTTCAACCTCGTCACCCCAACCCACCCCCTCCCAATAATAACCCCCCTCCAATCCCTCTGGCACGGCACAGCCAGCGGCAAAACCCTCGGCCACTCCACCCTCCCCTCAACCTACGTGGACCGCTACACCCAGCCCGCGAGCGGTATAAAGCGCAGTGTCCTCAACCTCCACCTCAAAACCACGCTCCGAGAACACAACATCCCACTGTACGAAGGATACCAACTCAAGAACATCCACGAACTCCCCCACCAGATAACTGCATCCTTCACCAACGGAAAATCAATCACCGGCACGTTCCTCATCGGCTGCGACGGAATCAAATCCTCCACGAGAAGGATCCTCCTCTCCAAAAAAGCAGGAATATCCGAAGGCCCACCTACATTCACTGGCTTGATTCAAGTAGCGGGGATATCCAAGATCCCAGCTTCCTTATCTGAGAAAGATATATCCCTGAGTAACTGGTTCGGCGAGGGAGTGCATGTCGTTGCGTATCCCATCTCTGCCGAGGAGATTTCCTGGGCTGCTACAATTCCGGATACAGAGGGGGAGGAGAGTACGTGGCGCGCTGCTACTGCTGGAACCGAGGTGGAAGACTTACGACAGAAGCTAAGGGAGAAACTACTTGGATTTGAAGACTGTGTTCTGGAAATGGTGAACACAGCGGAGAGAATCATCTCCTATGGATTGTTCGATCGACGAGAGGTTCCTGTCAATCAGTGGTTTTCTGATCGCGTAGTGTTAGTGGGTGATGCGGCGCATCCGACGAGTCCGCATTTGGGTCAGGGGGCGAATCAGGCTTTGTAAGTTTCTCTCTTTCACCTGGAGGGTGATAATGGGGATGAGTGCTAATGTTAGCTTGGGTAGGGAGGATTGCTATCATCTTAGTCGCATGCTTCCGGATCTGAGGGTGGATGGGGTGGTGTGGGATGAGGTTGATCAGGGGCTATCTGGTATATTTGAGGAGTTTGCGCAGTTGAGACAGCCGCGCACCTCGGCGTTGGTTAAAGAAGCCCGTCGGCTGGGGGAGCAGCGCGTTGTTGTGGGAGGGCCGGAACGGTGTCGCCAGCGCGATGCAAGTATTGCATATGCTTGGAGGAATGAGGAGGCTGTGGCGAGGGGACTGGATGGGCTGTTCAAAGAGCCGTTCTGAGGTTGCTTGTGCTTGTCCACAAACATGACGGCCCATTTTGTGGGGTAACTTATGCTTCGAATATGTACATAATATTCAGTGAATAATGCTGTTAGAATAGATCATCGCTATGGATCGCTCATCACGGCATAACCTGCTACATCTCAATTCTACAAAACAGTCTGATACACCCTCTCATCTGCATCAGACTGTTTCCCCTTCCACTCCTTCAACCACACCCCCACAAATCTCACCACCTCCTCATGCACACTAACAATCTCTTTAGGCGCCTTCTCCCCCTCCTTCTTCTGCTGACCCGACAATCCGTTCTGATCCCAGTGATGGACCGCACCTCTCACACCATCCCACACATCCGCCGCCGGAATATCCAGCAAAATAATCGGCTCACTATCAGACGACTTTCGACTCTGCCAGTCGACTCCGTCCGCTAGTGGTGTCGCGTCGCGCCACGGATCCGCCAGCCCGCCTATTATCGCAACGCGCGGATACGAGAAATTGAACCCGCCGAATTGGTTGATTCGCTGAACATCTGGCGGTGTCTTGATTCCGAATGTGTTCGGGCAGAAAGACGAAAGGTAGGGGAGGTCGAGAAGACGAGAAATAAGGGGCTTAGTGGTCGAAGGCACAGAGGAGCCTGTAGTGAAATACCCCCATTCAACGCAGACTTGGTAGTTCCAGCTGGTGCCGGAGTCCTTGCTGAGGGGCTGCGGGGTGGTGAAGTTCGTGATGTTGGATGATGAGGACTCCGAGGATGAGTCGGCGAAAACTTTCGAGGTGCTTAGGAATCCAATCCAGTTGAGGAAGTTGTTGACCAGGGTCGTGTTGGAGGGATCGTAGCCTGCAATTTGGACCAATTGCTTGACGGATGCAGAGATGGGTTCGGCGGCCTCGGGGTACAGCAGGTCCGAATTGGTGATGTTGTTGCAGAAAGCGCGGAAGAGAGGGGTCCCGATGGTCTTATCCCAGTTGCGGGACTGAAACGAGTCCAGACCATAGGAGAGGGAGGAGACAAAGTCCTGGTTACTGAGGTTGGTCGCTGAGCCCCCAAAAGCGGATTTCAGTTGCTGGGCCAGGGTTTTATTGTCGGCATGGTCGATGAGAATGCGATCCACAATATCGATTGACGTCTGTATGGTGGAGATGCACTGAGATGGGCCATACAGTCGGATCGGTTCGTAGTATTCCCAGTAATCAATGATGGCTTCCGTGACGCCAGAAGAAGACACCGCTCCCCAGTAGAGCTCCGGGTAGAGTTTGCGGAGGAAAGCGACGAAAGCACCAGCATAAGAGCCGCCATAGGCGATCCATGGAGTGGTGGCTGCCGTAAGATCGAGATCCTCCAGACCGGGGAAGACAATGTTCGAGGCAAAGTAAGCATAGTCGGCGAGCGCCTGCTCGGTAGTCAAGAATCGGATGTTCTCGGTAGTAAGGTTGGTGAATGGGTAGCTCTCGCCGTAATAGCGATGTTCGAGAATGAGGCCAATTCCATGGTAGGCTGCCGCTAATTGAGTAACAACCCCTTGTGAAAGGAAGGGAATACGGTCGCTTCCATCGGTCTCGCCTGCGGCAATCACAAAAACGGGTCCTCCAGGCTGGTAATGGCTAGTGTCGAGCCAGTAGCGCAGGCCAAAGGTGGCATTGGTGTGTGGCTCATAGCGTGATTCATCGTGGAAATGGTCTATAGGCACAGAAAGGTTGTACACCGGGAAGCTTGCTGAATCCTGGTTGAGAGAAGCCTGGTGAGACTTGCTGAGCTGGCTGAGTTGGTGCAGATGTGGTACCCGCAACTCCAGGGGGCTGGAGTCGAGGGCAACCGTGGAGGCAATCAAGGTCCCCAGAAGGGGAAGCGAAAGGAACATGATGGTCGTGCGATGGAAGAGTCGGGGGACTCCCCCGAGTTTATTACTCCTAGACCCTTATGCGGGGTTTCTTTGCAAGACGAGCTTTATCTAAGCGGTGGAACTGGCGATTGCCAATCAGCCCAGCCAGCCAGCAAGGTGTGATGAGGTTGGGACGGCGATCGTCGCGTTATCCGTCGGTCTCCCGGCGTGGCTGGTTTCTGCACTTGCCAATAATTGACAATTATTCCCCGTGTCCTCCATTGTGCTCACCTCCTCGGTCTACTCGTCATTCCCAGCTCATGAGCCAACTGGTGTCGCTCAGAAAGAGTGACCGCAAAAACCATTCGCTCCGACATACAGCCCAGGATGGCGTGACATTTGCGGGTACTCGCTGCGCCGTTGAATTTTTAGGGCGGATCACGCCTCGGTCACCCATTGATTTTAACACAGTTCCACCCGGTGGTATCAGCACTGTGTAGTAATGTCGTGATCAATATACTTGGTTGACAATCACAAAAGGTCAATTCGCTCAGAGCAGGGATCGAACCTGGGATACTCCGTGTTCTATCACGTGACTCGACGGGTAAAGCCGGGATCTGGAGTCAGTCAACTATTCTTAGTGAATGGTTGCACCCCCTGTTGCTGTGTGGGGGCCGCATTCTGCAGCTTCACCACCAATGCAGAAACCCGGTCCTATCCTGACCAGGATCATCGAAGCTATTATGCATGGGAACCGACCGTTTATATTGCAATCGTGTCGAAGCTCCCAATATGCAGTATATTCCATAAAAATGCACATCATGATCAGGACAACAGTTTCTGGTTCATGTCTTACCCAAAGCGTCAGTTAGGGCTGACAGGAGTCGTCGAAAAGCATCAAGTATCACCCAATGACACCAGACTCTACAAAGAACGTGTTGGTACCTCTTCACTATGCGACAGATACGAACCCCCTAATCTACAAAAACTTCCAGTTAACCCAATGCTAGGAAACTTCGGTACAACCAGGAATGCTAAATTGGGGCCGCCCCCAACTCTCACCGTCGCACGCGAGCTTCCATTTGCTCTCCCCCAGCATGACTACGACCATGCTTTCAACGCAGCCACTCTCCTCCCTCACCAAGTTGGAAGGAACTGGACATATCCAATGCTACGCATCACTTCGCCTCCACTCATCCAGGCAGGCTGTGTACATCATGCCCCCTTTCGCCCCAACGATACGGCCTTATGCAGGAACCAGATCACACCCCTAATCAACTCTCCTTCGTCCTGCGTTGAAGTTTCTTACATTCTTCTGTTTCTATTGGGGTCAGTCTCTCGCTATTCTTCTACCTCGCAGCAAGTTCACTGTCTCGCCGTGGGCAACAAACAACATGGCATCACGCTCCTTTTCCTCCCAGTCCCTCTTGACTGGCTTCCTCCTGACGCTCATTTCCTCCCCCTTCGCCTCCGCTGAACTCACTCTCGCTTCTAATCCCCAAACCACATCCGCTCCCGTCGAGACCGTCTCCCTCATTGATGCCAGCGGCATCCCCATCACCACCGCCAACGACCCCGCCGACAACGCCTGGGTCATCCCCCTGACCGGACCAGCCAGCGCTCCCACCGGAGCTGCCTGGGGCGCGCAAATCCAATATAACAGTGACCTGGCTGGAATACTCCCAGTCGCATTCGGGACCCCTACCACCACCGCCAAACCCACCGCAACAGCGATAACAAAAGCAGCAGCAGCATCAACAACAACAGCAACGTTCGTATCAGCCGGCTCGCCCGGCCAAAAGAGCGGAAACTTCGAGCTCGCAATCGCGTTCAGCAACACCCTCCTCCTGTCGCAAGACACAAGTCTGAACATCACCTCCACCATAAACAAAACCAACTCAACAACCATCCCCTCCCTCCCCGTCGGCCTCAACCTCGGCCTCCAAGACAAATGGAACGGCTCCATCGTGCTGGGAGGTAACTACGACTCCAATCGCATCTACGACGAACCGCACTGGCAAACCACCCCGGAAACCAGCGCCGGCAACACCAGCTTCATCGATACAGGCATGCTAGACATCAGCGCCGTTATCCTTGAACTCTACACCACCCCTAACGCTACAACCAGCAGCGAAGACGCGGAATACCCGTTCGGCGGTACCAGCGTTCAGGAGACGAGTAAAACTCTCCCCGCCATGCTGGACTTTAATTCGGAGTTCCTGTCCGTGCCGGATGAATCCTGGTGCGGACGGAATATCTCGATCGTATTTAATCCGGATAGCGAGTCATATCCGATATTTGATATTCCAGTTTGGGCCGAGCTGGTTCCCAAGGAGAGGTGTCAGGTATCCAGTGGTGAGGTTGTGCTTGGACGGCCGTTCTTCCAGGCTGCCTATGTGTATGTGAACTCGGCGGGCGATGTGTATTTCAGTTCGATCACTACGGAGGACGTGGATGTTGCGACCAAGCCGTTTGACTTGCATGTGCAGCTTTCGGAGGAGGTCAATGGTACTGAGACTTATGGGGGAGGGAATGGAACGGCGACAGGGTCGGGGAGTGATGCAACGGGGACCTCGGGGGCGGGAAGGTTAGGTGTTGAGGGGGTTTGGGGGGTGGTTGTGGGGATGGGGTTGTTGTTACTGATGTGAAGTGGAGGGTTTTTTGATGTCTTTGTACGATGTTTGCAGGTGTGCGTTATGATTTTGTAATATAGGTTCGCTTCTTCGGTCTGTTGTATGACAGGCTGGTTTTTCTTGATTGGGTGGGTTGGACGTCTATACCCGTTGATGGCAGCTTGGAGGTTATGCTTTTTGTAACGTGAATTGGATTTATGTCATTATCAATCGTCCACTTACTTAAGAAGGAGGCAGGATGAGTTGAAACAGGTTGTTTAGGTAGAAGTTGGGTTCCAAAAGAGAAGGAAATATGTGCGTCTCTTCGGTTCTCACATTAGATGTCTATAATATTCATATCTACTGCATGACAGGAGTAGAACCTGCAGGTGGATTACATAAATAGATCAAAATGCACCTCAAAGCTAAACTTACTTCCATTATCTTCTCGAAAGAGCAAGGATACGCCTAAATTTGAGGAAACACATGAACAACCTACCTTGATGAGCTAACTTACGAGTATGGGGAAGGTAAGCAAAAACGCCCAAACAAGTGCATCACCACTCAAACCCCCGACTAGTAAACACCCACCAGACAGTAGCTGAGCCGCACAGCCATAACCACCAATTCCTTGGCTATCTGGCTAGCTGAACAGCCCAAGCCTGCCAATCTTCTCCCCTTCCACAGATATCCTTATCCGCCGACCCACCACGCTAATTCCATCTCACGCACGAAGGATCGTCGCCAATTCCCACGCGTCCATTCCGTAGACGACCCGACCAATCAGCACCTCCATCTCCACTGCCCTAAATGCTACCTATGTGGATCGGAATCAAACAAACAGTCGTTGTTGTATGCCCGGATAATGTCCGCTGGGTGCGAAGAGCCTTACCTGCTAGCATGGTCTAACTGGGATGCGTGAGGCTGAAGACCCTGTCAGCATGGGTTATTAATAAGGTATGGGGTGCTCACGCGACGGGAACACTTTTCCTTTGATCGTTTTGCGAAGCGTAGAGCTACTTAGTTGAGCGCCATTGCTTTCTTCAGACCAGCCATGGGTTCCGGGCGATTAGGCGGGTATGCCGCTGTCTTTGCGGGGTTAGTGGTTAGTGTTTCTGCTATTGATTTTAATATCAACAGCACCGGTATGGGACTTCATCTGCTTCTGCGATTATCAGAAGACCCGCTAATGCAACGTTACCAGACACAATTAAATCCGCCTCCACCATTGAAATCACCAACCTCCTCAGCACCGCCAACTTCAACGGCACTGTCAACCCCATCTACTCCTCCTCCTACCCAGAGGGCATGCTCTACATGTCCCTAATCCCCTACTGGAACGCGACCGGCAACACAACCTACAACGACTTTATCATCTCGCGCATGCACAACCACTCCCAGAGCATATTCAGCGGCGAATGGGAGGAGATCGACGTCCTGACGAGCGACTTTGTCACATGGGGTCTCGCCGCCATGGCTGCGTCAGAGGCGGACTTTCCGGGTAGCCCGACGAACTCTTCTTGGCTGACTTGGGCGAAGAAAGTCGCGTATACGATGGAATTGGTTGTTAGTCAGGGCTCGATATGCAACGGCGGACTATATGACGATGAGAGTCAAACGCATGGGACGGAGTTCGATTGGTTCAACAACGGGGCGTATTTCCAGCTTATTTCGAGAGTGGCGTATGCGAGTGAGGGAGACGACCAGGGGACGTATGCACAGTATGGGGCGAGTGCATGGTCATGGAGTGAGAAAAATGGCATGGTGAATACCACGAATTGGTCGGTGTATGATTTGGTCTCCAATAAGACGGTGAATGCATCGACTTGTCAGGCTGTGGATACGGCGAGGTGGAGTTTGGCGTATGGGTTTTATTTGAGTGGTGCGGCGTATATGTATGAAGCGGTAAGCAGCACTATCCTCAATCGTCTAGGTTTAGAGATAGATCGTTGTGGGATAATAGCTGACGACACAGCAGACCAAGTCGGACGTCTGGATGACGCGAGCCGAAGGACTCCTCAACAGCACGCTTGACACATTCTTCCTCGACGACATCATGGTCGAAGTGGGCTATAGCAGTGCTAGTCTAGGCACTGCCGAGCAGTCCAAGCTGTCTGCTTACCCGTTCAAGGGATTCCTGGCACTGTGCCTTGCATCCGTGGCAAACCTTATCCCGGAGTTCGCCGGTCGGATTGTGCCGCTCCTGGCAGACACAGCTGTGGCGGTATCTGAGCAATGCGATGGAACAAGCAACCAGACCGTCTGTGGTTCCGACTGGGGGTCTACTTCGTATAACAAAGACCCGTCCTTCGAGAATACTTGGAATGCCGCCAATATTTTCGCCTCGAAGCTGCTTGCGCCGGAAATATCCGAGTCGGGAAATACTACGAGTAGCGGCAACTCCACAACAAGCAATACAGCAAGCAAAGATGGGAGTGGCATCTCGAATGGCGCAATTGCTGGTGCCGTGGTTGGTGCGGTGGCAGGCGTGGCTTTGATTATTGCGGCGGTCTTCTTCGGCCTGCGTCAAAGGAAGCAGAAGAGAATTCCGGTCCCTACAAAGGAGCCAGATGAGATTGAGTATGCTAAGAAGGGCCCCGCAGAACTGGCGCAGGGGTCTTATGTCCCTGAGATGGATAATGGAGTGGTGACGGAGCTGCCGGGGAAAGTGGATGGGGAGCAGTTGAAGTCGAGTGTTCCTCACGAAGTGGATTCAGCCCCTGTGTCCGAGCTTCCGGTCAGGGTTAACACAATGCGTTATGAACTGGAATGATAGCATAGTTTCGAGCGGTCATGGCTCTCTAGAGCATAATATTAATGAAATTAAAATTCAGACACATAACTCTTATCTGACGTGCTTTGCTTGATGCTATAATTAGTACCTAGACGCCTAGGAATGCTTCGATAATATCTCACGTATGTCCAAGATGCAGCATTCCTACTTCTTTCTGTCCGAGGAAGTAGTAAAACAAGGAGAACAAGGCTAACACAGTGTACATGAACAGAAAAGAGACTGCAAAATAACGCTATAACCCACTAGCAAGTAAAGTAGCAATTATATAACAGGTAATAATTATATGTGTAAGGGGTCCGTCTTGTTACAACAATTCCAGCCATCAGTACCGTCTAAATATACCCCATTTCTCTACTCTACCCACAAAGCATCTCGCAATAATACTCATATCACCTCGCTATCAACTCAAATATCAGCGCTGTTCGACAAATCAAGTAACTCGAGGCGGTAGAGAAGGCCAATGAACAAAGACAGAGAAGACATACTCCAGCTCCTCCAGGAAATTTGACATCGAATAAAACTGACCCGAGTCCGCTGGAGGAAGCGTCTCGTAGCCACTAAGAAAGGTTGATGGTAACGGTTCAATAGTCTGCTGCCACTGATGGCTTTCATATAGTCCAGCCTCTTCCAAGAAAAACGGATAGTTGTAGTTGTAGCTGTATTGCGATATTGTGTTTCCGTCACGAGCGTTCTGGCATTGCTGCACCTCTTCTTCGAATCGGACGCGGCATTTTCTCCGCTTGTTCCAGTCTTGGCGGGAGCTGAGGATTATCTGTGCGAAAAGAAAAATCAGAATTGATGAAGGAAGTATGTGGTCTGCTTTCAGCTTACACTAGGGACTGAGTGGATGGTTATGTTCCAGAAACGGCCAAGCAGAGACTTTCCATCTGTAGAGTCGTTCGATGTCGAAGGGTCTTCTGGAAGCTCCCAAATGCTGGGCTTTCGCTTCAAAGAAGGCTTCCTGGGGGCTTGAGTCGAGGGTGCTTCGCTAGGTGTTGGGCTGGGGCTTCTGCTGGACTTCAGTGGGCCATAGAGCCAAGTGATGTCGCTATCTTTGTCCCTGCACCAAGTCAGATAATCGCGATCGGGGAAAGTGGGAATCGAGATAGCACTTACCACGAGATAAAAGCCGCTGGCATGCGAATAGTCTGTCGAGTTGAAGCCATCCATGCTCTCCAAAGAGCATTTTCGAAGCGACATCTGACAATACTGTGCTGGTTTATTTGGCGAACATGTTTTCTAGTAGCCCACATCTCATCATACGTCCAGGAATGTGCGAGGTAGTCAACATTGACTTTGGCGTCCTCTTCAATCGAGAGATCATCACGCACAGCCCTTGGACGGGACATGGTAGCCTCGAGGGGCTTAGAAGTTAGAAGATACGAGATTGGGAGGAGAGGAGGTAGAGGGTGGCGATAGTCACTGGAAGTCAAGTGTCGTCTCTTTGAACCAAGGTGAGTTTATCAAGAACTGGCGCGAGGGTGATGGAACACCTAATATATGGTACACAAGAATGCAAGCATTCACTATCCACCTAGTAGGCAAATGTTAGCTCTACCTCCTCTCTATCGACACTGGACTAAGCACAGTACCAGTCCCACAGCTGATAAGAGCTCTACATGTCATACTGCAATGCCCCCACTCCGAACACGGGCTAATCCAGACGCGTGAATCTGATATTGAGCCTGATTGGCGACCCAGTATCTACAAAAAGACTATATGGGGGAGCTCCCCGGTTGCGGAGAGCTCGAAACACGGCGCGCAGAGGAGTTGCAGTGGCCCAGCCGCCCGGGAGAGCCGAGTTACCGAGATGGGGAATGGTGGACATGACAGCCGGGTGCCACCCAGACCGACGAGGCCGAGTAGGGAAGGAGAAGTTGTAACCATGGGGTGACATCTGGTCTTATCAAGGGACGCGTCCGGGGCTGCTTGAGTCTCCCAGCCAACCACCGCCTCGCTGGTAGGCCGGAAGAGTCAGCCGCCCAATCAGCATCCCGGATTCCACATACTGCGCCAGTGCATCAAAAATCTTGACTCCTGGCCATGTCTTGATTCATGCTCTCGGCTGCAATATCCCCGATCCGTGGCGACAGCCGGGGAGCTCCCATTTAGGTGGGGAATCTAGACCTGCCGATGAGCGAGATGGGATTCCCCGATCTCCTTCCTTAAGGAGCCCAGCCAGTCCTGCCCAGCCATGAACCACCGTATCGGTTCATCGCTACCATTTACCAGCCTAGCATACCATATCTTCCATAGAATCGTGATGTCTGCGCAAGAAGAATGCTCGGCGTTTTCTCGTCTCGCCTGCGGTTGTCGGCCCCGCCCTATCTCGTAGAGGATCCCTATCAGAATTTTTTCGCGGGGAATGTCCCAGGTCATAGACAAGCAGAAGTATTTGAAGCAAGCAGGTATCGAGCGGACGTCCTCTGTACTCCTCCACCACACTTATCTATCATATCAAATAAAAATGCCTTATTGCCTTGGAAAGTCACTAGGCCTGATTGGCCGCGGACAAGAGCCACTCTCCTTTTCTCTTACCGGAAGCCCTACTCTTTGCACAAACACCCCTTACATCTCAGATCTCAACGCCTCGAGGCTCCTCGCTCCATCGGATCGTACTGAAGCAGATATCCGCTGGACTACTCACGCCGAACAAGCCTGTGACCCGGAAGACAGCTTTAAAGAGCACGCGGTGTTATGCCTTCCATGCTGCCACCATACCGAAGACCACCACCCCGGTATGGATGATACTCCTTTGGATGGAAAGGCTCGCAATGCACTTGAAGAGTATTCCAATTCTTTCGATGAATATCGTCTGCTCAAGCGGAGGTTATCTACGTTAACGCACTCGCCACGAAGTGAGAAAGCTGCATAGCCCGCAAGTGCAACACGCTGCGACGCATGCAGTTTCTGGAAGCCATTCAACCTGGCATAATCATGGCGCCACCACTGATGGAATTCTTCTATTGAAAGGAGCTTGTAACACTATGGTTTTTTTAGAG